GTGTAGGAGACGGGGAAGGGTCATTTTGGGCGCAGGCGAGGCCAGCCGGCTGCCTGACCCGTCGGGATCTGCAGTTCACCCATTAGCACAGCCTCCTGTGAGATGCGCGCTCCTCTCACGGGTGAGTTAACGCCGGATTAGATTCGGAGATTTCGAGGAAATTCCAAGTGGAACGAATAGTATTTTCCTTCAGAGCTGCTGCGGAGCTGGGAGCAAGGCGCCAGGCTTTGGCAGCATCCAGCCGGGTGCCCAGCTCCGGCCCCCACGGGCCGCATGTTAGGGAGTTGCTTCCGCGCCGGGAGCCTTCAGAAAGCGCAGGATTCTGCTTACCTAGCCTTTGGTCCCCTATTTAACAAAGGCAGCCGAGACCCGGCTGGAGAGAAGGCGAGCTTTCCGGGATGAAGGTGTCCGTTCCTGCCCCGGAGGCCGAATGGCCTGGTAGGCAGGGAAATGCTGATCTAGGCTGTGGGGACTGGCTGCGGGCAAGTCAGTTTCTCTTTGTGTTCAATTTCCCGAGTCCGAGGGCGTCCACCAAAGCCGTGGGGAGATTTTTGAAGAGAAGCCGCTAGCTCGGATCCCAGCCTAAATGACTCCTCACCGTTTGGGGCCTATGCCAAAACAGTTTTCAGTCCGTGGTGACCCCAGCGCCCCCAGCAGCCGTCTCCTGCACAGACTTAGCCGGGCTCTGGGGAAGCTCTGATCTCTCAGACTAAGCCAGAAAAGCAAAGGAGTTTCTGTCAATACTCTGAGAGGTGACCAAGCCCTTAGCTCGGTCAAGGAGCGATTTGAGGACAAAATGGGGAGGGCTGCTCTTGCGCTTCTATCCTTGCCCGTGGGAATCCATTCTCCCTTTCTGCACAGAGCCTGGCTGCCCAGAGGTTGTGCCCAGGCGCTCGGGCAGATAGCATCAAGACCTGGTGGTCTCAAGGCCGTGCATGAGGGTGAAGAAGGTAGCTTCTTCCAGGTGTGGGTTAGCCAACCGCTAATGCCCCTCTCTATACCTCCTCCTCCGGCCTCTCATCTGCCCCATCCTTTGGAAGTGCTCCCTCCTCCCATTTTCAATTTTCCCTGCAGCACGGTGGGGGTTGGGCCCCAGCCCGCCTAGCTTCCAGAGCTGTCTTCTCTGGAAGTGCCCTTGGTCTTGATATCCAAAGCTATTTGTTTCTGTAATATAGGCTCCACTTTGGAGCCCCAGTTTTTTTAGCTTGAGTGGAGGAGTGCGTAGTAGATCCTGAGAGGTTGCCTGGTAAGTAGGGGCTCAGACCGGGTCCCACCTTCTTATCTTTCTTCCTGGCCCTGACCAGTTTCTTACCACCCCAACTCCTTTCCCCTCTCGCCCACTGAAGCTGGGTGGCTGCCTTGGATAGCTGGTATAGGGGGAGGGGCAGGCACTGCCAGGGTGTGGGCTTCTGAGTCTTCTTGTCCCCACCCCCAGCTATGGTTACCAGTTACAAAGCACTTTTATAGCCAGTCTCCTAACCAACTGTCTTCTAAACTTTCAGCTACATCCATTTTACAGAGAATGGTACTGAGGTCAGAGAGACAAAAGGACTGACAGGAAATTCCCAGGGACAGTGCTGGAGGCAGTCTTTTGAGATTCAGGAAAGGGGAGAGAGAGGGATTCAGATTCAGGAGAGTAGGCAGCAGCCACCTGGATGGCTACACATAAATGCAAGGCACTGTCTCTCTAATTTAACTATGTCTGTATCCGTGGCGCTACTGTCCCTGTGTGCCGGCCCCTATCGGTTCGAGAGTCCAGTAAGGTTTCATTCCTGCCCTTTCCTGTGTTTCTGTTTGCATGTTTGTGTGTCCCCTTAATTATCCTCTCTGATATTAATAGGAGGAATTTCAATGACCCTGTGGATCCTGGAGTTCAATCTACCATTGAGTCAGCACAGACCCTTTCCCCAAGACCCTATGCCCAGACCTGGTCACTGGGGGTGTGGACAGGGGCGACCCTGGTGGGTAGCATGCTCTTATCAGGGCCTGAGGAGCTTCTATGGAGGCCAGCCCCTTCCAGACCAGAGCCACAGAAGTCCCAAGGGCATCGGGTGTTCATCCCTTCCCCCCTGCCCTCCCCTTCTCCAAACGCCGCTCTGTGAGCCCTGTGGGGGCGGGGCTGTGTTTCTCTTGTATCTGAGTGTCAGTTTCCTGGTCTTTGCCTTGATTTATTGCATCTGTCTCTGTGTCAGTCCGTGTCTCTCTGAAAATTCGACTTGGTCCTGAAAAGTGTAGCTGAGTCCCTGTCTCCCCCCAGCACCTCCCACGTGGTGAACCGTCACTGTACTCCAGTCTGTAGAAGTAGAGGCTGGGACTTGGCTTCTCTGAGGAAGTGCAGGGCAGGAGCTGGGGTCCAAGAAAACAAAGGTTCCCCCCTCCGCAGATGTCCCTTTTTCTTCCAAACACCCCCTTGTTGGGCTTCCTCCGGTTTTCTCTTCTCTCATCTTGCCTCCCACTGTATACACTACATTCACCTTTTCCCCTGCCTCTCTTTGCCCCATTCTGGCCAATCCACCCCTTTTTCTCCCTCTCCTCATTTCTAACCTGAGCTTCCCTTCTCGATACCCTCCCTGCTGTCTCTTCTCACTGAGTCTCTGCTCTTTGTACACTTGCCCTCACACCACTTTTTCTGGCTTCTTTCTCCATCCTCTTGCCTCCCTTCTTTCGGGTTTCTGGTTTTGCTTCTTTCCAATCTTGGGGTAAGTGAGAGACATCGCCTTCTCAGATGACACTTTTAATTTACCGACCCACCCCCCTTGACATATTCTCTCAGAGGCTGAGAAGGCCAAGAGTTTTTGGGAGCCTTTCCAGGAAGTTGGGGGATGTAAGGTGTCCCCAGGCCATCCTGGGTCTGGTGTCAACTGTGGATACGAGGGTCAGACTCTGCAAGAGCACTGATAGCCCGGCCTTTGTGGTCAAGACTAGAGGGTGTGGGGACTTGCTGTCACCTCGATTGCCTCACCCTTGGGTTTTCCCCCATAATACAAATGGTCTCCAAAGATCACAAATGTCCTGCAGGACTGTTTTTGGAATTTAAATCCTCCAAAGATTGCTACCGTGTTTTGAGCAGAAAATTTAAATTGCCAGTAGTATAAGGAACAAGCCATTGCAGATGGCCCCAGTGCCTGGACTAATAGATTGTCTCACAAGTGTGCTAGGTGCTTTTAGCTTTCTTTTTGTCCTCTCAGTTTTTAATTTACTTGCTTCTTAAATCCAGCCTGTTATTGAAAGATCCATATAACCCTTTTTGATTAGGTGCTCCCAACCCCAGAACAAAGCTTTCTTAAGACCCTTGACCAAGAGTGGCTGTAGTCTTTCTGTTTTAGGTGAACTATGCAGTTGTGTTCCTAACTGTAAAATTCTGTTCAGGGTGGTTTTCCTTTTTCTTATATCTGGAGTGTTTTAGAACAATCTAAATGATGAAAGCTCATTTTGAAAATCATAGAGAAATTCAGCTTAGAATTTGAATTGAGTACTGTTATTATCTATAAAAAAAAAATTTTCCCCCAATGAAATCAGCCTGAGTTTGAAAATTTGGGAAATATTCAATTTGGACTCTCATGGGAAAATTCAGTGAGTAGCTTTGGCAGTTTTTAAGAAATAGGTTATGTTATGGGTAGTTTTCTCCTCTATTTCAGATATTGTTCTTGAACCTGGATAGTAGTTCAGTGCTGGGGAATAGCTGAGATGAGGTGGCTATTTTATGTTTTCGAGTTGGAGTATATTTGTGTGTGTGTGTGTGTGTGTGTGTGTGTGTGTGTGTGTGTGTGACCTCTGAGATGCCCTGGCTTCCCTGGTACAGTCCAGTCCCTGCAAAGTCCCAGGTTAAGAGAAGATTTCCTCTTCCTTGGTCTCTGAGCTGTCAGCAGCATTGGAAATTCTTGGACTTGGCTTCTGGCTTTTGACAGTCCTCAATGATGTCAGTCAGTGTCTGATTAACAGCTACAAGGTCGATGATGTTGCTACGCTGGATCACTCTGTGTTTACTGGTTTGGCTCTTCATTTACTTGGATCTCTGCTTCCATCCAGATGGACCTTGATGTTTTTACGAGAATGGAGCTTATTGGGTGGAGGAGATACTTTCCCAAACTCTTTTTACTTAAAGTCCATCCCAGAACCCTTGTACAACCTGGGACTCAGAAGCCTCCTTCGGCTTCTTTATTTTCCCTGAAGCAACATAAAGCTGTTTGTCAATTGTAAAACACTCCAAAAATTACAGGGAAACTCCTTTATAACAAATTCTGATACAGTAGAGTGAAATGTGATCCTTTGACCTATTTCTTTTGTGTGCTCTGAGAGGGTACAGTGGTCAAGTCTGCATGTCAGCCTCACTTTTTTTGTTTTTTTGCCATCTTCATTGAGGTATGAGCCTCACCTTCTTAAAGAAAGGATTTTTATCAAGGCAGTGGTTTAGTTCTGTCTTGACTATCTGCAGATACTATTAAAAAATTTTTTTTAAATCCTTAGCTCTTAAATCAGATTGCTGATTTAAAAAACATTCCCCTGTCCCCAAGATCTAGGTTTATTAAAGTAATCCTTTTCACTTTTAGAGATATCTGTTAAAAGGGAAAGAGTTTCATTTTTAAAAATCTCTTTACATTTTATGTATTTTGAAATGTATTTTCTCCCTAGGATCTATCTTAGACCTCAGCATCATGTATATAATAAGTTCTGTCCCAAGTACAGATTGAGGTCTTCATGTATTCCATTGTTTAAAAAAATTACAAAGAAAATGCTAGCAACTAACCGAAACATAGTATGAAGATGCTTACCATCAATAGCCCAACTGACTGGCTGAAGAAGGACAAAGGCTAAGGTGAATTTCAAAAAGCAATCTGAGGTGTTCATGTCGCCTGTGCAGTCAGACCGCAGGCTCAAGATAGCCAGCCCGCTGCCATTTCTGATCAGAGGGACTGTAGGTCCTCAAAGCGGCACTTCTTCTCCTGCGTGACTGGTTCTAACCACCCTTTCCCTTGCCTTTTATTTCTGATCTGTTTCAGGACATGGAGGAGTGAATCAGCTTGGGGGGGTTTTTGTGAATGGACGGCCACTCCCGGATGTAGTCCGCCAAAGGATAGTGGAACTTGCTCATCAAGGCGTCAGGCCCTGCGACATCTCCAGGCAGCTTCGAGTCAGCCATGGTTGTGTCAGCAAAATTCTTGGCAGGTAAAGGCAGGAGCTTCAGGCTTCCCTTGATTTTTCAAATAATAACCTAAAACATGGCCCAGCAGCTGTCCGTGTGGTAGTGTCTTAGTGAGGATCGAGGTGGCGCTTCCACACGCACAGTACTTTGGACTTTGCAAAGCCCTTTTGAGGCCATTCAACTCGAAGTAACCCCAGGAAACCCTTGTTGCAGAGTGGGATGTCTCAGTTCGAAGGGGTAGCATGTTTTCTGAAAGCCTGGTGAATTATTCCTAAGAACCCAGGAATAAGAGGTTCTTGGGAAGTCCCCTTCTATATTTGGTGCCTGAGCAGTGCTGGGTGGAAAATCCACAAGTTATAAAATCACATAACCAGACTTCAATGTTTCATTTTAATGTTTTCAAAAAGCACATTCCATTTTTAAAAGTCAGCTGTCATTTTCAGTTCTGGGTTATCATCTAGCTTATTATTTTGGGTGGCAGTGTTTTCCTTCTATATGTTTTGTTTCCTTCACAGTGACAGGCATCCTAAATATATATGAAATTAGAAAGGAAGCAAACAAATGAACAAACACCAACTCTCAAATTAGACAGTTGAAAGTTGCCACTTGACCCTGCAATTTGCTGCAAGAAAAATACTAACAATGCCAATTCTCCCAAAGGGCTCTGTTGTCTCTTAATGCGCATGTTTATTTTCTTGGGTGAGATGGTCCAAGAAAGCTTGTTTTGAGATGAGGAGACAAATGTAGAGGGCAAAATGAGTGACTCAGATGCTTCCAGCCAATCAGCACTCAGGCTGGGAAGAGGCCTTAAGAACTCTGAGACCGTCTGCACCTCGCTGCACCCCAAAACCAAAGCCGCAAGTATGTTTCCAGGCAAGTGAAGTTGTTATAGGTCTGCGCTGGCAGCCAGGAACATTCTTGGGTTTAGCTGTCAGTACTCTCTCAGGATTTCTCTTGCAGGTCAGAAAACAGCCTTTGGCCTGTAGCTTTGTGTTATGGTTTGAGAACAGATGGCTGAGTGGAAAATAAATATTTTGAAGTATGTCAGTGCCATTGTGACTTTCTGCTTACTCTTTCCCACCTGCTAGAATTTAAGACATTCTCTCAGATGGAGGGAATAATAGTTTTTAAACTTGAGAAGACTTGCTGGAGGCCAAGAGAAGTTTCAGGGCCAGGGGTCTGGCAGCACCTTTAGAGACCATATCCCCCTGTTTACTCCTCATGCTCCCACCCATACCAGTTCATCCCAGCCATGGGGGCTGTGCGCTTCTCTCTTGTTTAGCCCTCAGCGGCAAACAAGCCTCAGCCTGAGTTCAAGGAGGTGGGAGGACATCAGCATGGTATTCTTGTTAGAGAGTGATTTTAGGTAACAGGATGAGAATGAAAATTGAAAGAAAAAAGAAAAAAACTAGAGGAGAGGGAGATAGAAAAAAGAAAAAGAAAAGAAACAGAAAGGAAATGGATTGATTCAAAAAGAGAAAGAGAAATAAAGACAAGATAGAAAGAGAAAGGAGAACAATATCTCAGATCATTTCAGCGTCAGACTTGGGGGGCCGAGGGATCTTAGATGTCTTCCTGGGAAGCCTTCTCATTGTACAGAGGTGGAGAGAGAGAGAGAAAGGAGGCCCTTCCTTTGTTTTTGCTGAGATGTCTTTGCTGAGCCGACATTTTGCTTGCTATTTGGAATCTTCTCAGAGCAAGATGCTGAGCCCTTCTCAGAGGGGACATCCAGATGCCGGGTCCTCGTGTTCTGGCGCCCAGGAGCCCTCCACATCTTCCTTGGGGGGCTGAAGGACACAGGGGCCCTCCCAGGCCCAGCCAGCTGCCTCCCGCGCCCCGGAATAGATTTGTCACTAGGTAGAGTGGCACTCGGAAGTTATGCGCCGCTCCGGTGCCTGGCCGTTTAAGTTGTCAACAATAAATTGGAATTTCATAGCTCATTATTTTCATAACTAAGAACCACAGTGGACAAAATGTCACTCTAATTAGAACTGCCTTTTAAGAAACAAGTTCAGCCCTAAAACAGTGTGACTGGGAATTTCTGAACTGGGCTTGTTCCATCCACTGATTTTTTTTTTTTTTTTCGGTCACTGAAGAATTTGATGGGCACACATGGGGTGACAGATTGTGGAGAGCGTGTGGTGTGTGGTGGCCGTGGTTTTCAGAGGCTGCGTGGCGAGGCAGGCAGGGTCCCTGGGGCAGTCCGAGTCATCTCAGGAAGGTGGCGGTCTGCCAGGAGTGTGGCATTCAGTCCACAGAGCTCAAGGCTCTGGAGGGGCTCAAGAGGCAGAGCCCAGTGGCATGTGAGACCCATTTAAATCCATCCAGAAAGCTGGGCTGTTGTCTTCTTTCACTGAGGCCTGGCTGGGAGGTTCATGCCATTTGGAATTGGGTGGTATGTTACATAGTAATAAACACTCAGAGGATTTTAATCCACAACACGTGCTCTTTCTGTTTTGCAAAGCTTTTTCTTAACCACTCTGCATTTCTGTCTTCATGACAGCACTGCAAGGCAGGCCAGGCAAACATCCTCCCCTTATTATACAAATGGGATAACTGAGGTCCAGAGAGGCTGAGTGAGTTGATCGGGGTCACACAGCGAATTAGTGTCAGAGCCCCTGACTGGCATCTGCACCTCTTTACTCTCACACTAATGCTCCTTGCACCAAACCGCACTGTGGGTCAGTGGCTGTTGTTCATCTTGTCCTGTGTAAGGCCTTCATGGCTGTTTTGCTGAGATGAAAGGGTAGTCAGAATCCTCACTTGACACAGTTGCCAGTTGGGGTTTTCTGGAGTGTCAGGGCTGTCTTCTAAGTGCCTGGACTATGTGTCAGACAAAAGGGAGACAGAGACCCCCCGTGTTGGCACCATAGACTTGTATGGTTGGCAGTGCTCAGATGGGATGGATAGAGTCCTGGGCACTGCCACCTCCAGCCATGCAAGGGGGGCAAGCACTGGGGGTGGCGAGGGCTTCGTCCTGCCACCTCTCAGAGTTTCTGCATGAATGTTGCAGTCCCATTGGGCTAACAGATTTTGAGCACAGGGTGTTCTGTGTGCCCGAACCCCCATCCCAAGACAGTGCCTGTCCTAACAGACCCTCTGTGACTATTGATTGAATGAATAAGTGACAAAATGCACACGAAAATGCCTGGTAAACAGTAGAGCTGTCTGTAATTTCAGGGGATCTCTATTATTAGTACTAGTGTCATTTTAATTTTTATAACTAAAGCAGCAGCTTCTTCTAGTGGGAAGAACATTGGATTCAGAGTCAGGTTTGAGAGCCTGGGACTGTTTCTAAGTTCCAAAAGGGGGTTGGGCAAGGATTTAATCTTCTCATCATCAGTTTTCCCTTTGATTACATAAAATCTTGCTGGCCTCTCAGGACTGGTGTGAGAATCAAGATAATTCGAGGAAGACTCTGTAAACTTTAAGGCACTGTGCCTAAATAATGAGATGCTGTATTGTAGTAACAGATAATTTTCTGTTGTAAAATCGAAAGGATCTGCCGAATCTGCCAAGATTGCTGTGTGCTTTGATTTAGATACTTTTTAGACTTCTGGCAAAAAAAAGTTTTTTCTTGGATATTTATTAAAACCTGTTTGTGATTAATAGCAGACTTTTAGCAATTATAGAAAGAGGGAGCGTAGATTGAGTTTTGCTTTATGGTCCACAAATTTGTACATGAGTCTTCTCAATGAAAAATAGAATTTGTGCATCCATATCACTGTTCCCAAGTTGTTTCTTCTATTTCTAGAATATTCAAGGCCCTAACCAGACTTACCCAAGCTGAGAATTTCAGCATCTCTTTCAATGTAACCAGTCATTGTCCTAAGTTATCTTTCCTACCCATCATAGACCCACCTTTGCTTACCTGTTGTAAACTCTTGTTAGGTTTAAATTTTTCCAGTCATTTCTAAAATGTCTTTTTTATTAAAATTTTTTTTCCAACTACAAGATAATCTCGTTTTCAAGAGGAAGTAAAAAATTCCTCTGTAAATGTTGAGAGAGACATCCAGTGAAGGCTCAGATTCAGAAAAGGAGTCAAGTAATTTTTTCCCCCTGAAATGATCTTTCATGGCATTCTTCTCCCTGGTTTCGGTTTTACTGTAAAACCCTGACATCCTATTTGCGTTAACGAGGAAGAGCTGATAGCATGGAAATGTCCTTAGAAACATCGATTTACCTCAGAGGAGGTCCCTAGAAGAGCTGCAATGACTGTGCTTGGTTGGTTTTTTTTTTTTTTGATTGCTTGCGTTTTGACTTATGTGTAACTCATATTGCCGGTTAATTCTGGAATCCGACATTTTTTAAAATTTTATGCTAGGGTTATTGTTTTTCTCTTATGGAAAAAGATGTTGCATTTTAGGGGACAGTGTCACAGAAAGCAGGTGAGTCTGCTAGGGGATGGGAGAGCTGACGAATGAAAGGCACAGGCAACTTTCTGGGGAGATTTTAGCTCAGAAGGCTGGGCCACAGTCCTGGTTTGGCCCTGGGTCGTGAGTGACCCTGGGCAAGCCGTATAACCTCTATGGGTCTGTTTTACGTCTGTAGATGGAGACCTGTTTGTGTAATCATTCACGCATTCAGTCATTCAAAACTGAATGTTGTACTCTAGAAATTCAAAATTATGTGTTTTAGAAGTGTTGTGGGGATCAAATGGGAAAACCAACTGGAACGCTTTCTGTGAACTATCAAATGGTAGATAAATGTGACAATTAATTAATTAAGGCTGAGCATTCTGACTAGCGCTATCCAATGGAAATGTAATGTAAGCCATGTAGGAGGTTTAAAATTTTCTAGTAGTACATCAGAAAAGGAAAAAGTAACAGGTACAATTACTTTTAATTGTATACTTTATTTAATCCAATATATTAAAAAGATGATCATTTCAACGTATATATAACCAATGGAAACGCATTACTGAGATTTTGACTTTACTTTTATACTAATTTTTGAAAACCTGATATGTATTTGATGCTTAGAGCATACGTCAGTTCAAACAGATTACCTTCCAAACGTTCAAAAGCCACATACATGGCTAGTGGCTACATACCAGCCAGCACAGATCTGGGTATTTCCTGGACAGAGTAGTCCATTATTTTGTTACCAATGTCCATTTTTCTAGTTTCTCATGGCTAAGCTCCTTTCTCCTTGGGTCGTAGGTATTATGAGACAGGGAGCATCAAGCCTGGGGTAATTGGAGGATCCAAACCAAAGGTCGCCACACCCAAAGTGGTGGAAAAAATCGCTGAGTATAAACGCCAAAATCCCACCATGTTTGCCTGGGAGATCAGGGACCGGCTGCTGGCGGAACGGGTGTGTGACAATGACACGGTGCCCAGCGTCAGTTCCATCAACAGGTGAGTGGCCGGTGCCTTTGGGAAGCTGAGGGTCTGGGTGGGGTGGGAATGCTGGTGGCTATGCACGTGCCTTTCCTGAAGATCTGGTCTCTCCTTTCACCAAGACCTCATAGGGATTATCAGTCAGGAGGGATGAGCACAGGACTGGATGGTCTCTCTATCACTCTTCTCTCCAAAGTAGGCAGAAGTCCTAAGCCCAGGGAGAGGAGGCTATGCCAGCACCCAGCTGCTGCAAATTTTTCTGACTCCCGAGTCATTTCCATTACTCCCTCCACTACCTGCCTCTGCATGTGGAGCACTCAACAATGAATTGTCCTGTTAGGCCTTCACAAACGTCGCTTACCTTGCAAGCCAGTCCCCAAGGTTAGCACTGGCCCACCTCAGAGCTTCCCAGGAGGAAAATCTTTGCCTCCAGTTTGGGCAGAGGTTGAGGTACTGAGTGTGGGGAACAGAGCCTGGACTTGCAGTTGGGAGATTTCAGCTCCTTTCAGATTTGCCAGGCCTGCCACAAACTCATAGTGTGACCTTGACAAGGCTCTTCCTGTCTCTGAGAGCCCAGGATCTGGTGGTACTGATATGGGTCTGTGATTTCCTAGAGTGATATCCAGGATTCTAAGACACTGTGCAGTTAGGGGGTTGCCTTCTCCTCAGTTGCCCTGAATCTCACCCTTGGACAGAAAGAACCAGAGAGACACCTTAAGTACCAGGCAGAGGATTTTCTTGGGGGGGCTTTCTTTTATCCAGTCTGGTCCAGAATACATCCAACAGAGCTTTCAGAACTGGATTCCTGAAAGAATGTTTTCTGTTGTAGGAGGTGTAGTCTCAGCCCCACTGAGACCCGTAGCGTGAAGGATGTAGCTGTGAGATGACAGAAATGATGGTTCTCTGACCCCCACAAAGAAAAGTGAAGCCAGCAGACTGAAAACCTGAGCAGTTCCCATTTCTCCCTGCTCTCGTGCAGAGCCTGCCTGGGCACAGGGGACCCCTGCAGCAAAACGAGGTGGTCAAACCAGACTGTTTCTAAGATCCCCTCTGGTCCTGACAGTTGTTGCTTCCATGATGATTCAAATGCACAGAATCGCCGTGTGAGTGTCCATGTTGGTATTTAGAATCCTGCTGTCTCATAAACCGTTAGCCTGATTTTTTTCTCTCAGCAAACCTTTACGTTGGCTCTGACATCCCACAAGGTGCTATGAAGAACCAGGGGAATCAGACATACGATCTATCTCTTGGTTTCTGTTCTAGAGGGGCTCCTTGTCCAGGAAGGGGTTCTAGCTTTCACTGCGGGGTCTGGACAGCCTGACAATAGGCACAAAATCGCTGGAGAGGTAGCGATTATTGTGTTGGGTTTGCGGTGCCATACTGAGTCGCTTCAGTCATTGTCCGACTTTTTGGGATGCTATGAATGGACTGTGGCCCGCCAGGATCCTCTGTCCTTGGGATTCTCCAGACAAGGATACTGGAGTAGGTTTTTAGGGGGCTTGTGGGGGAGTAGCTCCAGTTCTTTCTGGATTATGAGGGGGTCTGTATGCTCTTGGAGTCCCCTACTTCCAGCTCTTTGGAAGTTTTCCATGACACCAGGCAACGTGACTTTCCCCCTACCTGTGTCTCCAAAAACCTTAATGTGGAGTGAGGTGTGAGCTGCTCAGAGCGGTGAAGGAGCAGAGCAGCTTCCGTAAACCTGGTGGTCAGGCTCTGGGGATCCAGAGACTTTTCAATCTAGGTTACACAGGTGGTTTCAAAGATAACTCAGGTGGCCCATGGAGGTCATAAACACCAGTGCCAACGTGGAGCCAGGCAGGTGGTGCCCGGGGGAAGTGGCTCAGGCATAAGGCAGCCAGGGAAGGTTGGGTCTGTGCAAACTAGGAACCCAAGCTGTACTGAAGGGGCAGTTGTCTCTCGGCTCCAACTGAAAGCCGCTGGGCATGTGGGCCCAGTGGTAGCCCGATTTTTTCCGCTCTTAAAGAGAATCCAGAAACTAGCACGTGTTTGCGTATGTATGTGTGTGTTTGTGTATATGAAATCTCTATGCCTTTAAACAGTGGCAACTAATGTCAATGAGAAAATGCTTTTGCGGGACAAGCACAAATCATTCGCTGGCCCCTAGCTTCTATCTTCTGTCCTACAAGGAGGAAAACTGTTTTTTGAATGTCCTGTAGAAAAATAAAACTAGCACATCAAACCAGTGATAGTGAACTTTACAAACTACCTCTCCCCAATTATGGTAAAGAACTAATATTCCCTTATAAAATAGGTTTATTTAAATAAAAGGGTACGTCATTTGAAAGAAGCATATGAGGCAGCCCGAGCACAGTGATTGCAGATGTGGCGAAGGTTGTGAAGGGGGTACTTGAAGGCGTGTCCAGGGAAATCACAGCTCAGCTGGTGCGCTGTGTCCTGAGTGGTGCTGTGTGGGGGGTCAGGCTTCTAGTTGCGGGGCGGTGGCTAGCCGCAGGGCTCTCTGTGGTATCCCAGCCCACGTGGTGACCCAGTGTCCTCACTGGCTGTGCCTCTAAGGGGCTTCCACATCTGTGATCTCCGACAGCCTCAAGGCTTCACTCTCTTGTGACAAGTACAGAAACTAAGGCCTGGTATCTATACACAGTGCACAGGAGTGACAGGAACTGTGACTCTGAGCTCGACGTGGGGGTGGAGCCCAGGTCCCCTGATGGGAAGAGGAGGGCTGTTTCTTTCCTCCACTCCCCGGTAGGACTCTGCCAGCACAGAACCGAGAACTGAGGAACTGTGAGGAGAGAGGCAAGGAGAAGCAGTCGTCCCCACTGCCTTCCCACTCCCTTCCCCAGCCTCGCAGCCTGGATGCTTTGCTGCCTGTCTGTGATCTATAGCCTTTTCCTGTGCTTCTTTCTGGGGCTCCTCCTGGGAGCACTCTCTGGCTCCTCACCACATTCTTCAATGAGAGCTCTTCGGTGTCTTTAGCAACAGACCGTGCAATGCAAATAAACTAAGGGTGGCAGTTGGGGGGTGGCAGTCTCGTGTCTGTGTGACTGCTTTCCCCCTGCCCACACCCCCACAAGCCTCAGCCGTCCCAGTACACAGTTTTATTTTCCATATAAAGATCCCACTGCATTCTAACAGATGCTGCTTCCAAGTAACTGTCTTGCAAATGTTGTGTAGGAGGTCGGTAGCTCCCTCTCCCAGCCGCTGCTTCCCTGGGAGGCGATGTCTCACTGCTCCACTACTTCAAACAGCTAGGGAGGGAGGGGTGGCTGGATGGGTAGCTATTCCGGTGGCCACAGTGCCTCCCCCCCGCCCCACCAGAAGTGTGTGAATTCCTGCTGCCTTCTGGGGATCCTGCCTGGGAAGCTATGACTGACTGGGTGAAGCAACACAGAACCACTTCTGCTGGGGTTGTGGGAGATTTCCTGGGACACAAACCATCATGTTTATGTGACTTCTTAAAGACAAATACATGCTGGGATGCTCACAACCTGCAGGAAGGATGCTTGGACTCCAACCTGAGACAGTTGGTGGTGACTCTCCTGGAGCTGAGCTCAGTGCCGGGGGTGAGGGGACGGATGGGGTCTTGCTTCTTTGTCCTCTCATGGCTCTAAACCGAGTGGCACTCCCAGCTTAGAGGGGCAGCCCTATTTAGCGCCAGCCGTGGTTGTCCTGTGAGAACGTGGGGCCAGTGTTCTGGGTGTTCTGATTTTCCAGGAGAAGCTAGAAATTCATGTATTCATGTAAAGCTCGCAACTTACCAATATTGACAACTGATTCAAATGAAAATAAATGTACTCTGCAGGCCACATGCGCCTAGTCCAGCAATGGGTGTGACCTGGGGGATGACCCTTTATGAACTCTGTTCTTCAGCCTAACTTGGGCAGCAAGCCTTCAGGGATCATGCATCCCTTTCCTCTTTCTTTTCCATGTCAGTTGCTGGCCTGCCTGTCACCTGTGGGCTCTCTGCAGCTTGGACCCTTGGTTTTTGCATTCTTAGTACAGCTGACGGCCCAAGATTCTTTCTGCACCTATGGAACCAATGGCAGTTTGATCAGTGCAGTAAACATGGCTATTTCTTCAGCCCTATAACCTCATTTCTTATTTTAAGGCCACACGACTTTCTTCCAATGGAATTTTGTATGTGGTGGCGGGGGGCGGGGTGGTGGCTGGGGGTGATAGTGAGAAGACTTAGCCTTTCCAAGCAGTGCGGGTGATGTTGAAATGGGACCCTTGCCAATGTCTATAATATCTAAAGTTGCTCAGACTTGGAATTTTTGGATTCTAGATGGGTTTTGAATCCAGAAAGGCTTTATGTGTTACATAGGAAGTACTTAGTGCCTCTGCTAATGTCCCACCTCTGAATGTGGTTCAAAGAAAAGTGCCCAGGCAAGGGAGCTGACTTGTGTGACCTTGGGCAGGTCATTTGGGCACTCGGGGCTTTAGTTTTCTTATTTGTAGGAATTCGTTGACTGTTGAGCTTCCTCCCGCATTGGACCATCTAGAATGATCCTATGGCATTCAAGGTCAGGCAAAGTAAAGTAAAGGGCTGTACCTGTTAGTGCTGACTGTCAATTAGCCTCAATTGTCTCTGGTTTAGAAAAGTCCAGAGCGTGACTCTTATGGTGATGAGTCCTGATGTTAATTTTTTGTTTTTTAAGAATCACTCTAATTCAATTACAGTCTTGTTTTCCAACTCCCATTTCTTCTCCGTGGAAGATGATGCTCTTTGTTCTCTTCCTGGCAGCTGCTGCAGGCAGATGGGCAGAATCTCTGTCTCTGGAGATACCTTTGAAGGGTTCCCTACAGTTCAGGTCCCCCTGTAAAGGACAGCCCTGCCACAGCCTTAAAATAGGGTGTGGGGATGACTACCTCCCCTCCCCAGCTCCCAAGGGGATCCCATGTGTTTTTAAGGCATTTGTAGAAAATATGAACCTTTTAAGGTTGAAGCTAGTCATTAATCTTTATGAAGATACCAATGAAAATAACAACAGCTAACATTTATCGAGAATTTACTATGCAGGAACCACTGGTCTAAGTACTTAACTAATGCTCGTAATAACCCTATGAGGCAAGAATGATTCTTAGTCTCATTTTGCAGATGAAATAATTGAGGTAGAGAGGTTAAGTAACTTGCCCAAGGTTATGCAGCTGGCAGATTGTAAAACTGGTGTTCAAACTCTAAAAGTCTGTTTCTGGGGCCTGTTTAACCCACTGCAGCTGCCGCTCAATGATTTATAACAATGGATTATGTTTTACCGACAATTTATAAATATTTTTAAAGAAAAATAAGGAAAATATAATTTTCTTTGCCTATGTACGAATTTAATGGAAGACAGTGCTTTGAAAATTAGGACTTTATGCTGGACTTCAATGGGAAATAGTTACAATATATTTTACCATATGTTTATATGTATATAAATCAAAATATAGATAAATATAGTTAAATCTTGCATCTCCATATATGTTCACACGTCTAGCGATATATATGTAGACACACACACGTGTATACACAGAGAAGGTGACATACACAGACATGCCCAGATTAGGTCAGAGGCTAGCTTAATTCCTGTCATCTGAAAAACTGGCTCACTCCTGGGCCTTTGTTAACACATTCCCTGTTTGCTTAGTCAAAATAAGTGGTTTGAATATTGGAGAAAACAAATAAGCAAACACTGTGAGGATATTTGAGGCAAAACATTGCTGACTCAACAGCACACAGCAAAAGGCCCTCTGCAGAGCTCAGGCGGCCTGGGCTTCAGAGAGCCTGTGGCCGGGCTGTGCTGTGAACAGAAACGTCCATTCCAGGCTGTCAGCTGGGGATGCGGAGTGCCCTCCATGCCCAGCGTTGAGCTGTGAGATCACAGAGAGCAGGGCCCAAGGCCTGATGAATTTTGGAGGAGGCATCTGCCATTCCTCTTCTCTCTTTCCTGGTGCACAAGCTGGAGACCAGTGCAGCCTGAAACGAACTTCCAGAAAGAATGTTCTGGAATGTGAGGAAGTTTCTTATATAAAGCTGAGTGAACAGAGCAGGACTTAGAATTGTACACGTGGTTTAATCCTGATTTTATTAAGAAAAAAATGGATATTTCCAAATGCACATAGGAGTGTGAGCATAAAGGAAATACATCAAAATGTGGTTTTAGATGTCTTCCTTATACTTGTCCAAATAGTCTACCATGAGCACAAAGGACTTTTATAATTAGGAAGCGCTCGAATAAATGTTCTTTAAAAGGTCACAGTTGGAGGCTGGGATAGAACTTTTCCAAAGAAGCTACACATTTTATTACCATCCACCCTTCTCCTAAGTGCCAAGGAAGGAATCTTCTTCCAGACCCCAGGTGACTTTTGGCCTGGCCCTGGTCAACCACGCCCTTGTGGCTCAGTGGGTAAAGAATCTGCCTACAATGCAGGAGACGGGGGTTCGATCCCTGGGTCAGGAAGATCCCCTGGAGAACCCACTCTAGTATTCTTGTCTGGAGAATCCCAGGCACATCAATCCCTGACTCCTTTGCAGCCCCATGGACTGTGGCCTGCCAGCTTCCTCTGTCCATGGAATTTTCCTGGCAAGAATAGTGGAGTAGGTTGCCATTTCCTCCTCCAGGGTATCTTTCCAACCCAGGGATCGAAGCTGCTTCTCCTGTGTCTCCTGCATTGAACAGAGGAGCCTGGTGGGCTACAGCCCGTGGGATTGCCAAGGGTCAGACATGACTGCGTGACTAACTCACTTTCACTTCACTTTGTTCAGCTGCTCTACAATGCATTGGGCTCAGGGGCCTCATGAAGGCCTCACGTTTTGTCCCAGCTGGAAATTTACTAAGAGCCTGAGGTTTTGCTGAAGGGCATCAGAGCTGCCGAGGTAGCGAAGGGAAGGTGCCACTGCTATTGACCATTTTATACACTGGGCTTTATGATAAGATTTTTTTTATCTAAAAAGGATGGATTAAAGTAAGCCAAGAGTGGTCTGTTCCAATTCCCTCATTGTATTGAGGCCCCCACAGTGGAGTGGACTTGCCCAGGGTCACAGTCAAGTTCACCTTAGAACTAGAGCAAGGTCTCCGGGAAGACCATGCAGGACAGCCCTGGCTCCAGCTCTGTAGAGCCTTTCCGCTGTTCTGTGTAATTCAGGCTTCCTCTTAGCCAAGCCAGGCCAGAGTTACAGTGGCCGCACTTTGACCCTTTCAGTTTTGTAGCAACATTCACACTGCTCCCTTCTCCCCCTTGATAATTTCTGATGGTGTGCATGTGTGCTCAGTAGCTCAGTCATATCTGACTCTTCTGTGACCCCCTGGACTGTAGCCTGCCAGCTTCCTCTGTCCATGGAATTTTCCAGGCAAGAATAGTGGAGTGGATTGCCATTTCCTCCTCTAGAGTATCTTCCCAACCCAGGGATCGAACCTGCGTCTCCTGTGTCTCCTGCATCAGCAGACAGATCCTTAACCCCTGCGCCACCTGGCGGGGATATTGTTCTTCCTGTGGCTTTCTAAGGCAGAGAAACCAGAGTGTGAGAGCTGCCAGGGGACAGGGGGTCACCGGGTTCAGTGGCTTTATTCCACAGATGGAAGGTTGAGGTCCAGGGAAGGGAAGTAACTTTCTGATTTGCTCAGTGAGTTCCTGATGGAGCTGAAGCTGCTCCAAGAATAGGATGACTATTTGTAATATTAACACATCAATCTCTTCCTACAGAAGAGGCAGTTGAGGCCCCAGGAGGGGTGCCAGTTACCCAAAGACACCCAGGGAGGTAGGGGCTGAGCTAGAACTAACCTATAATTTTTCCAAACCCCCAGTTCCAGACCTGGATTTATAATCTGTCCCCACTTCCACGACCCAACTTGATATGGGTTTCTGGCATTGCCACTTGAGATCTCTTCTCCTCTGTGATGGTAAATAGCGATTTTTTTTTTCTCAATTGTTCACAGGATCATCCGGACAAAGGTACAGCAGCCACCCAACCAGCCGGTCCCAGCTTCCAGTCACAGCATAGGTAAGAAGAACTTTTAAAAAAAAATTTAAAAATCTAATGGGCTCCAAGTACTCAAAAGAACTTTTAATCATTCTTATGGACAGATAATTCTGCATAAAACACTTCGGCACACGTACTAATGCGCCTTCTTTGTCATTCTCCAAGGGCTGAACCTGGTAAATGAATTTTATAAATACTGCTAAAAGGTTTTGAATTTTACTGATTATTATGATAAATAGCTTTCACCATGAGACAGAAAATTGAAATCTAAGCCAAAAAAAAAAAATCCACTAATGGGGGTCTATAGAATGTCAGATAATTAAAGTAATAAATCAAGAAAGGGATACTTATTCATAACATTTTCTGCATCATTAGTCAGTAAGTAGTTTTGAATGTGTTTTTTTCTTCTACCAACCAGCCCTTCTACAATTCTTTGTGCACTTGCAGTCTTGAGTGAAGATGTGGCAAAACTTCCTAAACTTTCTCTCTCTCTCTCTTGCTTTGATCTCGTTGCTCCGTGAACTATCAAGGGCTGCCACCGGGGTTTCTGACACTCATGGGTAAAGTATGACAGTGACCAAGGAGGGGAGTTATATTTCCTACTACTCAGGAATTCAGAAGTTTCCCTTGCCTTCCCTTCCCTGCAAAGGTCCTGAGATGAAAGTGAAGTGTTTCTACTCAAGGTGTATTATTTCTCCACCTGGGATAAGGGAAACACCTCTGGTTAGCTGGGAGAAAGCGTGAAGATCTCTGATTGTTTATGGTTGCCTCTTTGCATCAAAGTAAGACAGAATTCTTCCTTTATATAAAATCATTCTTCATTTAGTAATCCCTCCAAAAAGCATTGGCTAAGCCCCTGCTATGCAACCTGTTGTGGAGACTAACATTATTAAGGGAATGGGACAAAATCCCCTGTTCTCAAGGGCTTCTTGGTCTAATGGGGACTATCACAAAGAGGCCAGGTTTCCACAGATGTTTTCAGACTTGCCTGGTGGCTCCGTGGTAGAATCCGCCTGCCAATGCAGGAGATGCGGGTTTGATCCCTAGGTTGAGAAGACCCTCGGAGAAGGAAAAGGCGACGCTCCAGTATTCTTGCCCGGGAGATCCCATGGATACAGGAGCCTGATGGGCTACAGTCCATGGGATCACAAAGGGTTAGACATGACTTAGTGATTGAACAACAAGAACAACGACAATTACAAAGAGAAGTTTGCAAACGCTGAGATCAGGCTCCAGAAGAAAGCACAGCGTGCTGGGAACAGAAGAGAGGGACGGACCAGCCGTGCTGAGCTGGAGTGGAGAGGAGTGAGGAAAGTTTCTGGGGAGATGTCTGTGTCTGGGGTTTCATTTGCAGATCCTATAGCAATGACTACTAAGGGTAACTGATAATATTTTTTCAGGTGGGTTAGAGGAATAATTCCACTTGACGCAGAATGCCTTATCTCAGAAATTTGTATAAAAACCATATCTTCTGTGTGTGCCGCTCCTAATAGTTGATAAACTTATCGAAGAGTGAAGAAATGGAAGCTTTAGAGAGATGAAACAACTAGCCCTCGGTCACATGGCCAGTAAGTGGAGGAGCCAGAATTGGAACCTGGGTCTTTTGAGCTAAGTGTGATCAGAAAATATTGGAACAAATGTCATCAGCTCTGTCAGCAGCGTGGTGAACCTTGGTTACATGTGGTTGTTGTTGTTTAAAGTATCAAATGACTTGTGATCTTCTTTCTTCCTCTGTTCTTTGCACCTTAACACAAAAAAGGTTGTGAGATTTGCATAAATCTATTTTGAGGCACTTCTTCTGGTGAAGGAAAAGAGAAGTTAACGATTTCTACTTCTGTGTCTCCTAAGGAAGATCTAAAATCAAACTCAACTATGAGAAGAAAGCTCTGTTCCCCTTAGGTCTGGAGGGGCAAAAGCTGAATGTGCTCCAAGGAAAGCAACAAACAGCTTCTCAACAGATCACCACCATCTCCAATACTTTCTTACACTTTAGAGTCAAAAGCAGCTCCACCTGCCTCCAGCTAGTTATAGCCAAAGGAAATGTGCCTGAGATTGGTCTTCAGGTTTTAATGAACCGAGAAAGAATTCCCACAGCCCAGAAATGGAAATTCAGCTGTACGGCTTGAGAGGACCCTGATGACCGAAGGGTCTCCCTCTTAGATTCTGGGGCCAGGAGTTAATGTGAAACTTGCTGAAACCTCCCCTCCCCCATTCTTATTCTTAGGAACTTAGATATTAATACCTCAGTCATAGTAAGCCATCAACCCACATTTTGGGGCAGAAGAAATCTAGACTTTGAGCCAGACGACCCAAGGCTGAGCCCTGGTGCTCCTGCTTATCCGTGAGATGACTTTGAGCCAGTCACTCTGCCATATGGAGGCTCGGGTTCCTCACTTGATAAATGAGAATGGATAATAGCATTCAGTTACTGCAAGCATCAAACGAAAAGTACATTATTTATGTGAAACATATTGTTTTTTCACAATTCATTAGTGAGGAGCAGATCACTACAGGGCTTAAGACTTTAGTTCTCGGGTTCCAGTTACTGCACTGTCTCATTAGCTGTGTGACCTTCTGCAAGTCACTTACCTTCTCTGAGCCTTGGTTCCCGTAACTTTCCAGTGACCTAAGTTATAAGTTTGTTCTCAGAATTAAATTTGATAATGCAAGAATGCCTGGCACAGAGTAAGTTCTCAGAAAAGATTAACATTATATATCAATGTATATAACATAGAGTATATTCATATATATATATATTATATACATATAATATATATATATATAAGACTTCCCTGGTGGCCCAGACAGTAAAGTGTCTGCCTACAACGCGGGAGACCCAGATTTGATCCCTGGGTCGGGAAGATCCCCTGGAGAAGGAAATGGCAACCCACTCCAGTAGTCTTGCCTGGAAAACCCCATGGACGGAGGATTTTGGTAGGCTACAGTCCATGGGGTCGCAAAGATTTGGACACGATTGAGCAATTTCACTTTCACTTTTAATATTAAAATCCAGGTAAAGAAGGAGAAAAGACAGTGAGGAGCTATTAAAAAAAGAGACAGTCTTCATGAGGTGCTTTGCTAGCTATGTGTGTGAGTGTGCAGATATTTATGTCTGCGTGGATGGGTGGATGTGTAAATAGGCAGCGAGCCTGCCTAAATGGTAGGTTGCTTTTAGCCCTGGCTGGCTGTGGGTTCCAGCTCCCCAGTCTCTCTGCTCCATCCCCCTGCTTCCTGCATCCTTGGATAGGTTGGGTTCGAGCTCCTTTCGCCGCCGTAAGTTCTCCTGGGAGGGCGGCGCTCTTATCTTTCAGGGGTGGCCGCCGTTCTGGGGGAGGCGTCCTTAGCGCGCCCCCGCCCTCTCCGCGCGGCCCACCGAGCCGGCGTTGGGGGAGGGCCTTGGTTTTGGCCCGACGGCTGGGGCCCAGCCTTCCTCCGCGGAGCCGCCCCCCAGCCCCCTGCCGGGCCCTGACCGCCCTCTCCCTCCGCGCAGTGTCCACGGGCTCCGTGACGCAGGTGTCCTCGGTGAGCACGGACTCGGCGGGTTCCTCCTACTCCATCAGCGGCATTCTGGGCATCACATCCCCCAGCGCCGACACCAACAAGCGCAAGAGAGACGAAGGTAAGAGACGCCGCCGCGCGCCGTCGGGGCTGGGCCCACCGGCTCTGAGGGGTCTGTTTCCAGGCCCTGGGTCAGGGGCGGGAGCACAGACGACCGCTGTGCGCTCCCCTTATCTGCAGAGCTCTGGAGGCGCCGGGCCCAGCCCCACCTGACCCTCGGGGGAAGGGGCTAAGCCTCCTGGGACAGGGAAGGGGCTAAGCCTCTTGGGACAGGGAAGGGGCTAAGCCTCCTGGGACAGGGAAGGGGCTAAGCCTCCTGGCCCGGCTGGGACTGGACTTCTCCCTGCCTCCTCCCATCTTCACCCTTTGGAGGGAAAGGCAGGCCTGGCAGAACTCCCAGGCCTGTGCTTTGCCGCCTCTAAGAAGCCGGTGCCTTGGCAGATGTGATGCCCAAAGGCAGGGTGTGGGGGTGTGAGCACTGCAGCAATGGCCCCTTTTGGGGGGACCCCTGGGGAGAGGAAGGGTCTGGGCATAGAGAGATGGGCACCCCTCCAGTAGTAGGCTTAGCGGGTGGGGTCCCTCCCAGGCCTTCAGCGTAGTGATGGGAGGAGGTGGCTGCGGAAGTGAATAATCTCATCTCTGCCCTTAGGGCCTGGAAGGGAGTGCCCGGGCCTCCCAGGGATTAAATAGATGTCAATCTTCCCTGTTCGTTTTTCTCAACCCTCAGTATGCTGCCCTGGCCTCCAGAACTGCCTGCCTCTGTCCCAGACGCTGGCCCACCTTAACCCTGATCTTTCCCTGGATGGGCTGCCAGCTTGGCTGATATTCTCCTCTGATGCAGAGGAGAAATGACCCCCTGGGAGTCTGCAAAACCTTGGTCAGGAAAGGAAAGGGAAAAAAAAAAAAAGGCCAGGGTCTAGGGCCTGAGAGCAGCGTGACAGAAATCTTGATTCAATTATTCAGTTCTTTGGCACAGTTCCCCTTCTCAACTCCCTGTAAGGGATGTATGTTCTGTATGCGCACGTGCCTAAGTACTTACGATCTGTAACTAGAAAGCTGAGTCGGCACAGCGGTGGATCGGCCTGTGGTCCGTGTGTTCCAGGCCAGGCAGGCGCTGGGCGCACGGCTTCTGCGTCGAGCTATGGGAGATGGTCCACGGCCTTTGGAACCTGCTTCACCTCTTCCCCTGCTTCTGATGTCAGCAGATGTCAGCACTCTTTTCCTTGGTGGCTTGCTGGGCCATGCTCCTGGAGGAGGCAGCGGGCCTACCGTCTCTGTTGGTTTATGGGCTTGGTGGTATCATCTCTTCATTGTCACCTGGACTCACTGCAGTTGTGCCCAAGCTGGGGGCTGCTGTGTTTGATCATGTGGAGGGGCAGGTATTTGAGGCTCCCTCAGAGGCTGAGGGATAGAGGCAGAGTTTCGAAGAGAAAAAAAGAAAAATTGAGTTTGATGTGTACCATCAAACACACAGGTCCTGAATTGGGGAGATTGTGTCACTGTGTTTGTTGAGCGCGCTAATGGCTTTCGGTCTCTGGTGAGTGGTCGGTCACCTGAGCCTCCCAAGCTGCTTGAGAAGGTGTAGAGTGGTCGAGATGTGGGTGTTGTTCGTCTCCACTGCTCTGTGCTGGGCAGATCCTTTCTGAAGGCTGTGACCCAAAAGATTGACCTTGAAGAGGGACAGTGACACATTGGGATGTGTCCAGATGGGGATAACCTGATGAAGAGGTATTTGGAGGAACACCTTAGGGCTCTAAGGATGTTTTGGTACCAAGAGGAGGAGAATGAGCAGGGCTGGATTGTTGCTTTCAAATATTTGGAGGCTTGACATGGAAAGCAAAAGGAATGAGACTCTGCTGCTTCGCCTCAAAGGCCAGTGTGAGACAGATGCAGAAGAGATTTCAGCTCAGAGTACAAGTCTGCAAATATGAGAGTGGTCTAGGGCAAAAAGGGGCTGCCTCAGGAAGTAGTGAGTGCCCATCACCAGAGGTGTGTTCGCAGAGCCTCGGTGGCCTTGTGCTGGGCTGCTGTGTAAGAGTATCAAGAATCAGATGCAGGGTTTGATGATCTTTCAGATCCTCAGTTTGGGAATTTATGATTGAGCCATGATCCCAAGAAAAACTTCGGAGGTGACCCCGTCTGTGGTCTGGGGCTAAGGGAGAATGAGTTGATGGCCCTGAAAGCATGCAGGATTGGAAAGATCGGGAGGCCAAGCCACAGGCAGAGCCTCTACCCCCTCCCTGCCCTGCGTCACTGAGGGTGGTTGCGGTTGGGCAGAGAGGTGGCTGGAAGCGCCCTTGCTCATATCAGCAAACTGCCTGGGAGGAGTATAGTTAGGTGCTCCCCACTGTCCTTTCCATCCTCCCCCTATAGCTCTCTGAATCCTTGCATTGGATTTAGGAGGAATTGAAGAGGTGGAGACTGCCACTCCTTTTTCACAGGGGATGAAACCAAGACCCCATGGAGTTCCATGATGTTGGCAAAGCCACAGAGCTGGTATGGCCAGGGGGTTGGGTGGGCTGAGGAGTGGAGAGAGCCCCTGAGGCTTCAGCTCCCCAGCTCCCTGGGCTGGACCAAGCCTGGGGATGGTGTGAGGAGGGTTTCAAGCAAAAGGGCATGGTCAGCAGGTTGGATGCTGCCAAGAGTGTGGTGAGAAAGTAAGAAATCAGTCACTGGGGAAATGCTGGTGAACTGGGTTCTGGCCCATTGAGGCTGCGGGCCATCACACCATTTTCCTCAGGAGCTCTCAGCAGACTGAGTGAAGGGCCATGGGGCAAGAGAGGCAATAAAGGGCCGAAAGAAAGACAGCTGAGGGTCCTCATCCCGTTTTTCAGATGGGTGACTGAGGCTGTACACAGCGGAGTGGCTTGCTCAACTCTGGTTCAGTCTCCTCCCATTGGACGTGGATTTTACCCTGTGGGCATTTCCTGGCTCCGCGCTCCTGCCCAGGGTTCAAGGTAGGGGTGGGTGATGGGAGAGTTCCATTACAGAGGACCTGGCCTCTAGACCTGGCAGGCTGGTGGGCAATAGTGGCAACCTAAAGTCCCTGTGACAGGCAGTGTGTGGGGGGACGCTGTGATGGGAGGATGCCCCCAGAGCAGAAGGGCAGGGCAGGGGAGGGCTGACATCGACCCAGAGGATCTGGGAAGGGTTCTCGTAGGAAGTGGCACTATATGAAGGGAAAAATGTTTTGCATGGCTGTTTTCAAACTTAAATGAATTAAAATCAAATAAAATGAAAATTTATTTGCTCAGTTGCACTTAGCCACATTTCAGTGGCTTCTGTACTGAATGACGTGGCTTGAATACAAGTGCTTGGCGCATTGTTGTTTAGTGGCAACAAAGTCATGTCCAACTCTGCGATCCCACAGACTGTGGCCCGCCAGGCTCCTCTGTCCATGGGATTTCTCAGGCAAGAATACTGGAGTGGGTTGCCATTTCCTTCTCCAGGGGATCTTCCCGACCCAGGGACTGAACCCACGTCTCCTGCATTGGCAGGCGGTTTCTGCACCACCGAGCCACCAGGGACACCCTGCTTGGCACGTAGTAGGTGCTCAGTAAACAGCGCTCGGTGGGATGGATTGGTCACGTGCCTGTAGAGAGTTTACAGTTAGTGAGGATGGTGGTGGTGGTGGAGGGGGGGAGTCTCTAGTCTCCTCAACCAGGAATGTTTCTGTTGGTTATTTTTGTCTTCCATGGAAAGCTCAATTTGAGCAAAACATTCTTTAGCAAAAACAGGTAAGTTAGAATACTATTAGACCAGGGGATTGCCAAGGGCCCTTTTAGCCTAGAAATTTTAGGACTCTTCCTGGGGCATTTGCCTCCAAGAGCAGCCTCGGGGACGTGGCCACTGTGTCCAAATCTCAGATGAACGGTTCTGCGGCTGGGGCCTCTGAGGGCGGAGCTGGGGTTGGCTAAAGGAAGCTGGAGGCAGGCGGATCATGGCTCGGTGCAAGGAACGGCTTTCAGACAAGAGCCAGGCTGGACCGAGGTCAGAAGCCTCAGCTTGGAAAGGTAGCGAGCTCCCCATCATCGGAGGCATGAACAGGGTTGGGGGCAGAAGCGCCAAAGCAGGCATTCTGGTTGGGCCTCCGTGACTTTTGAGGCCTGTTACAATCTGGGTGGCAAGTGCTTCTGTGACTGCCTGGCATTCCAGATTGGTTCTGCCTCCTTGTTTTCCCTCCCGCGGTCTGGCTCCCATCCGCCATCATGTGGGCGTGGCTGGGCGGGGCCGCGTCACCTGTCTCCGGCCCCAGCCTGGCCTCCTGGCACAGGCCCCGCACGCGGGGGCTCAGGAGGCTTGCGGATGGCTGAGAGTCAGGCTGGGGTGCTGCCCAGGCGGGCGGGCAGCTTCATCTCTGGGTTGGGCTGTCCTGAGGGCGTCTGTGGGGAAAGCTGTGGCCTGGACCTGAGGAATCCCGCTGGGCGAGGGGACAGAGCCCGGGGCAGTGCCTCCCTTCCCGGAAGGCCCTGAGGAGGTGGTGGTGGGGCTGGACTTGGCAGAGCGGGCAGAGCTGTGAATAGCGGCCATGGGTGAAAGGGCAGCCCCAGACCCTCTGTTCCTTCCTGGGCCTTTGATCTCTGGTGGGGCCTCCTTCCGCTGTCTCCAGGGCCCCCATTCAGGTCCCCTCGACCTCCCCCTCCCCTCATCCCCCCGGTTTGAAAGGCCCCGCACACACCGAGGTCAGCCGAGTGCGAATCCCTTTCACTAGCTCAGGAAGCTGGCCAATCCAGCGCTGGTGTGGACTGTGGGGGCTGGAAGCTTCTTTGGGGGCAGTAGGGGGTACACTGCAGGTGGAGTTTCTGGGCCCTGGGCTGCCTTCTGGGGACAGAGGGCACAGGAAGAGGCCTGTCCTTTTGAAAAGATGCCAAGTCTAGCAAGACCCTCGCGGGGAGGTTTGGGGGCATGTAGCAGGGAGCGGGGGCTCCTGCCATGACTGCGTCCACCCCTCTTTCTGGGGGTGACTCATCTCTGCCCTGGGGCCTCCGCCCGTGTCTTTTGTTTGGGCCTCGCCGCCTCTGTTTATGTCCCTTTTGAGGGACTTCCTCTGTGTCCCCTTCT